CCCCCCCCCCACATATACACACACAAAAATATAGAATATGGAACATCTGGGCTTACCACATGTCCCTCCCCTGTACTTTCATAAACCATCTGTGAGAAAGAACTCAATAAACTATTATAGACTATATATTTGTGTCACTCCCAAATTCCTGTATTGAAACCCTACCACCTTAATATGATGCTATTTTAAGTTGAGGCCTTTAAGTGATCAGGTTTCGATGAAGTCTCAGATCTTTCTCTCTCGTTCTTGTTCTTTCCTCCCTCTCCCCTACCATGCGACATTCTTTCCCTGACTCATGGCTCTCTTCCACAAGGTTCTACCTCACTGTTTACAAGCAAGACTTTATTCTGTCAAGAGAACAGAAAGAGGGCCATATCCCATGAAGGGAAATACTGATAAAATACCTATCTGACCAAGAATGGTTCTCCAAAATATACAAAGAACTTATAAAACTTGACCATAAACTAGGTGTGGTGGTGTGCGTGTGGAATCCTGTAATCCCAAGATAGTGGACTTCAGGGGACAAGAGGATCATAAAGGTAAAGGCTGTCTGGGCTACATACCGAGGTCCTGGTCCAAAACACACACACACACAAAGCAACCCAATAAACTCAAAATAATAAAAAACTATGACTTAGAAATGAGCCAAAGCCCTTATTAGGGTTTAGCAAAGAACGGGGCAGGCATTGTGGGCAATAAGGCAGCAGCTGCTTACGCTCTTTTCCCCGCAGGAGCTGAATGCTTACGTGAGCACACATTATGTATGTTCTTAGCACAGGAGCCGAACGCTTCTGTGAAAAAAAGCCCTGCGTGTGGTTACTTACACACGGGAGGCTGCCACCTATATGGGATATGTGCCAGTGCCAGAATTACAGAGGCAGCAAAAGGGTGAAGGGTGGACGGGGGCTGAGGGAGAAAGGCTATGGAAAGGGGCACAGAGGATTGTCAGGTTGGTGAAATCACCTGCAGGATGCTCTAAGGCTGGATGTGATTCTGGGCACCCATCCAGACCCACAGAATACACAGCAGCCAGAACGCATGCCATCGGCTTTGGGAGATGATGTGTCTGTCGTTGCAGATTGTCAGTCCGGATATATGGACTTGAGTGGTAAAGGAATGGGAGACTAGCAGAAGTCTGATACGTGGAGGTAGAGGGTCTATGGGAGATCTCTGACCGTCCTGCTTTACTGTGAACTTAAAACTATCCTAACTGGTGGCACTGGTGGCTCACACTTGAAACCCTAGATTATCAGGAGGCTGAGTCCTGAGGATCACGGTTCAAAGATAGCCCAGGAAGAAAAGGCTGTGAATCTCTTACCTCCAATTAACCACACAAGTAGAACTGTGGGTTCAAGTGATGAGAGCATCAGTCTTGAGTGAAAAAGCCAAGGGACACTGCCCAGGCCGAGTTCAAGCCTCTGGATGGCAAAAAAAAAAAAAAAAGTCTACGTGCTGTGTCTGAGGTTTTGTTTCTCAAGGCTAGCAACTCTACCACTTGAGCCACACACCTTTACTTCTGGCTTTTTGGTGGCCAGCTGGAGATAAGTCTCACAGACTTTTCTGCCTGGGTTGGCTTTGAACAGCAATCCTTAGATCTCAGCCTCCTGAGTAGCTACAATTACAGGAATGAGCCAGTGGTGTCCAGCTATACCTTGATCAATTCATACAAGGAAAGCTGCACTGTGGAGGAAATAATCTGTATATACTCACTATACGTGCATGAAATGAAAGCTAAAGCTAAAATACAATATGCAGAAGCCAACAAGGATACCACTTTTCAGCAATGAAGTATGAGACTGTATGTTTTACCCATGTTTAAGATTTAAATAACTTCCTGAAATTTTATGTAACATCTCCAATTGCAATTTATTTCTGAAGGACATTAAGCTGATTGGGGGGGGAGGAGAGGGTAGATCATGAAAAGGAGGGATACATAATTATATGTATAAAAGTGATGTGGACTTTGGAAAACATCTTAAATATACCTCTTTTTGAATACATCAAAATACATATAATTTTAACTCCTTGAAAAAAAAATCCATGTGTCCTCTGTGTTCACAGTCCCATATTTCAGAAGATGTGTTTGCCATCAAGTGCATGAGCGGTAAGGGCGTAGAAATGGAGGTAAAATGACGTTAGGTCAATCAAAACTGGACAGGAAACTTTAATGCATTTGTATCTAAAACATATAAAGGCCTAAAGACCAAGTTGATATCTAAAAAAAAAAAAAATCCCCTTTTATAACTTCATTATTACAAAGGTAATCCTTGCATCAAAAACCCAACTCTAAAAATAGGGTCTCAAAAAAATCACATATGTACACATAATAGGAAGGCAAGTCAATGTGTCAGGCTTCGGCATCATCGTTATCGCCATCATCCTCTACTGCCGCATAGATGGCTTGATTCCTCCTCTTGATTTTCTTTCTCTGTTCAGGTTCGTGTTCATTACTCAGCCTCTTCAAGGGCGACTCAGTGAAGTCCTTTCCATCGTCCTCTAGGGGTCCCCCTTCGGTACCCGAGGGAGAGCCTGGTAAGTCATCGGAAGATACAACCATGGACCCCGGCAAGACCCTCACATCAGAAAAGCTTGTGGAGAAATCAGAAGCCTGATAGGAAGGAGGTTCTGCTGAGGGTGTGTTCCTGTCACTGGGTGAACCTCCACAATCCTCCTCCTCCTCCTCTTCATCTAGCGTGATCTCATCGGGATTAATGGAGGACAGGGCGGAGGTGTCGGTGGTGTACTCGCTCCGGTCTCCTCCAGAGTCGTCGCTCCCCTCCTCTTGCTCTTCGTAGTCCCCACAAGGTGGGTGCTCTTCCTTGGCCTCCTGAAGCCTCACGTTCATGTCTGTGATGCCAAGCTGGGCACAGAACTCAGTGGTCTGCGGGTTGATCCTGTGCACGGGCTGCACTGGGGCCTGTGGCTTGCTGGGGTCATAGCAGGCCGCGGTGACGCTGAAGTTGCAGGGCACCTGGAGGTCCTGGTTCATCTTATCCATCACCTCCTTCATGGCTTCCTCGGTGGCACTGTAATCCCACCTATAAGAGGCAGAACAATCCATGGTCTTTTTTTTTGGCCAGTCCTGGGACTTGAACTCAGGGCCTGGGCGCTGTCCCTGAGCTTCTTTTTGCTTAAGATCAGCGCTCTACCACTTGAGCCACGGCGCCACTTCTGGCTTTTTCTGTGTCTGTGATACTGAGGAATTGAACCCAGGGCTCCACACATGCTAGGCAAGCACTCTAGCTCGAAGCCACCTTCTCAGCCTGAGCGATCCATTTTCACATGTGATCCCCCTCAAATAGTAACTGGCAAGTGCACACAGAGGAAATGAATCACCCAGCAAAATTCTGTATGGTCAGATTGCAATTAACTTAGCAAAAGGCCACTGCAAAATTAAACTCTTAGGGGGAAAAAAAAAATCTTCACCGGGTACCAGTGGCTCACACCTTGTCATCCTAGCAACTCAGGGGGCTGAGATCTGAGGATCATGGTTCAAAGCCAGCCTGGGCAGGAAAAGCTGTGAAACTCTTATCTCCAATAAACCACCAGAAAACCAGAAGTGGTGCTGTGGCTCAAGTGGTAGAGCGCTAGCCTTGAGCTGAAGAGCTGAGGAACAGCGCCCAGACCCAGAGTTCAAGCCCCATGAATGACCAAAAAAGATGCATTGTAGTCACAAACTGCCATGTTGAACTCAGTTGTACAACTACTCAAATATAACACAACATTGTTTCAAAAGATATAACTTCAACTATTCTACACCGTGTGTGTGTGTGTGTGTGTGTGTGTGTGTGTGTGTGTGTGTGTGTGTCCTGGGGCTTGAACTCAGGGCCTGGGCACTGTTCCTGAGCTTTTTTCTCAAGACTAGTGTTCTACCACTTGAGTCACAGCTCCACTTCCAGTTTTTTTTGGTGCTTAATTGGCGTTAAGAGTCTCACAGACTTTCCTGCTTGGGTGGGCTTTGAACCATAACCTTCAGATCTCAACCTCCTGAGAAGCTAGAATTAGAAATAAGCCAGCAGCACCTGGCTTATGTTTTCAATAAAATGGTGCTAGCCTCATGTTTCCGGCTTTCTGTTGCCTGTTAAGTTATACCAATCAAACATCCTTCTGCTTATAGAACCTTCCAGAGCTATTGAGAATACCTTTCTGGGTTTGCTCTGGAAATGCTTGTATTTACATGCATAATTCTCCATGCACACATCTCCGTTTTAACATTTACTTGAGGATAAAGTGCTTGGTGGGGGACAAGGGCGGGGAGATAAGGTAAAATAATTGTTTCCAGTGAACCAATATGTTCTCAGCCCAACTCTTTGAGGCTAAAGAACTGGGCCTGAGGAAGTGGCTCAGTGGTAGAGTGCTTGCCTAGCATGCATCAGGCCCTGGGTTCAATTCCATCTCAGTATCACATACACAGAAAAAGCCCGAAGTGGTGCCGTGACTCAAGTGGTAGTGCTAACCTTGAGCACACAGAGTCTCAGAGACAGAGACCAGGCCCTGAGTTCAAGCCCCAGGACTGGCAAAAGAAAAAATAAAAATAAAAATAAAAAAAACAGGTCTGAAAATGCCAGTGACTTTCTGATAGTGGGCTGGTAAATTCTAGGAGCCAGAGTTAATTCCTTCTTCCTGCCAAGAAGAGGGAATTTAACCCAGGTACTACTGGTGGCTCACGCCTATAATCCTAGCTACTCAGAAGGCTGAGATGTGAGGATCACAGATCGGAGCCAGCCTGAGCAGAAAACTCTGTGAGACACTACCAAGAACATGTGGAAAGGGAGCTGTGGCTGAATGCTAGCACTGAGTAAAAAGAAAGGAGAGAGTCCAGGCCCTAAGTTTAAGCCCCCCCCCCCACATATACACACACAAAAATATAGAATATGGAACATCTGGGCTTACCACATGTCCCTCCCCTGTACTTTCATAAACCATCTGTGAGAAAGAACTCAATAAACTATTATAGACTATATATTTGTGTCACTCCCAAATTCCTGTATTGAAACCCTACCACCTTAATATGATGCTATTTTAAGTTGAGGCCTTTAAGTGATCAGGTTTCGATGAAGTCTCAGATCTTTCTCTCTCGTTCTTGTTCTTTCCTCCCTCTCCCCTACCATGCGACATTCTTTCCCTGACTCATGGCTCTCTTCCACAAGGTTCTACCTCACTGTTTACAAGCAAGACTTTATTCTGTCAAGAGAACAGAAAGAGGGCCATATCCCATGAAGGGAAATACTGATAAAATACCTATCTGACCAAGAATGGTTCTCCAAAATATACAAAGAACTTATAAAACTTGACCATAAACTAGGTGTGGTGGTGTGCGTGTGGAATCCTGTAATCCCAAGATAGTGGACTTCAGGGGACAAGAGGATCATAAAGGTAAAGGCTGTCTGGGCTACATACCGAGGTCCTGGTCCAAAACACACACACACACAAAGCAACCCAATAAACTCAAAATAATAAAAAACTATGACTTAGAAATGAGCCAAAGCCCTTATTAGGGTTTAGCAAAGAACGGGGCAGGCATTGTGGGCAATAAGGCAGCAGCTGCTTACGCTCTTTTCCCCGCAGGAGCTGAATGCTTACGTGAGCACACATTATGTATGTTCTTAGCACAGGAGCCGAACGCTTCTGTGAAAAAAAGCCCTGCGTGTGGTTACTTACACACGGGAGGCTGCCACCTATATGGGATATGTGCCAGTGCCAGAATTACAGAGGCAGCAAAAGGGTGAAGGGTGGACGGGGGCTGAGGGAGAAAGGCTATGGAAAGGGGCACAGAGGATTGTCAGGTTGGTGAAATCACCTGCAGGATGCTCTAAGGCTGGATGTGATTCTGGGCACCCATCCAGACCCACAGAATACACAGCAGCCAGAACGCATGCCATCGGCTTTGGGAGATGATGTGTCTGTCGTTGCAGATTGTCAGTCCGGATATATGGACTTGAGTGGTAAAGGAATGGGAGACTAGCAGAAGTCTGATACGTGGAGGTAGAGGGTCTATGGGAGATCTCTGACCGTCCTGCTTTACTGTGAACTTAAAACTATCCTAACTGGTGGCACTGGTGGCTCACACTTGAAACCCTAGATTATCAGGAGGCTGAGTCCTGAGGATCACGGTTCAAAGATAGCCCAGGAAGAAAAGGCTGTGAATCTCTTACCTCCAATTAACCACACAAGTAGAACTGTGGGTTCAAGTGATGAGAGCATCAGTCTTGAGTGAAAAAGCCAAGGGACACTGCCCAGGCCGAGTTCAAGCCTCTGGATGGCAAAAAAAAAAAAAAAAGTCTACGTGCTGTGTCTGAGGTTTTGTTTCTCAAGGCTAGCAACTCTACCACTTGAGCCACACACCTTTACTTCTGGCTTTTTGGTGGCCAGCTGGAGATAAGTCTCACAGACTTTTCTGCCTGGGTTGGCTTTGAACAGCAATCCTTAGATCTCAGCCTCCTGAGTAGCTACAATTACAGGAATGAGCCAGTGGTGTCCAGCTATACCTTGATCAATTCATACAAGGAAAGCTGCACTGTGGAGGAAATAATCTGTATATACTCACTATACGTGCATGAAATGAAAGCTAAAGCTAAAATACAATATGCAGAAGCCAACAAGGATACCACTTTTCAGCAATGAAGTATGAGACTGTATGTTTTACCCATGTTTAAGATTTAAATAACTTCCTGAAATTTTATGTAACATCTCCAATTGCAATTTATTTCTGAAGGACATTAAGCTGATTGGGGGGGGAGGAGAGGGTAGATCATGAAAAGGAGGGATACATAATTATATGTATAAAAGTGATGTGGACTTTGGAAAACATCTTAAATATACCTCTTTTTGAATACATCAAAATACATATAATTTTAACTCCTTGAAAAAAAAATCCATGTGTCCTCTGTGTTCACAGTCCCATATTTCAGAAGATGTGTTTGCCATCAAGTGCATGAGCGGTAAGGGCGTAGAAATGGAGGTAAAATGACGTTAGGTCAATCAAAACTGGACAGGAAACTTTAATGCATTTGTATCTAAAACATATAAAGGCCTAAAGACCAAGTTGATATCTAAAAAAAAAAAAAATCCCCTTTTATAACTTCATTATTACAAAGGTAATCCTTGCATCAAAAACCCAACTCTAAAAATAGGGTCTCAAAAAAATCACATATGTACACATAATAGGAAGGCAAGTCAATGTGTCAGGCTTCGGCATCATCGTTATCGCCATCATCCTCTACTGCCGCATAGATGGCTTGATTCCTCCTCTTGATTTTCTTTCTCTGTTCAGGTTCGTGTTCATTACTCAGCCTCTTCAAGGGCGACTCAGTGAAGTCCTTTCCATCGTCCTCTAGGGGTCCCCCTTCGGTACCCGAGGGAGAGCCTGGTAAGTCATCGGAAGATACAACCATGGACCCCGGCAAGACCCTCACATCAGAAAAGCTTGTGGAGAAATCAGAAGCCTGATAGGAAGGAGGTTCTGCTGAGGGTGTGTTCCTGTCACTGGGTGAACCTCCACAATCCTCCTCCTCCTCCTCTTCATCTAGCGTGATCTCATCGGGATTAATGGAGGACAGGGCGGAGGTGTCGGTGGTGTACTCGCTCCGGTCTCCTCCAGAGTCGTCGCTCCCCTCCTCTTGCTCTTCGTAGTCCCCACAAGGTGGGTGCTCTTCCTTGGCCTCCTGAAGCCTCACGTTCATGTCTGTGATGCCAAGCTGGGCACAGAACTCAGTGGTCTGCGGGTTGATCCTGTGCACGGGCTGCACTGGGGCCTGTGGCTTGCTGGGGTCATAGCAGGCCGCGGTGACGCTGAAGTTGCAGGGCACCTGGAGGTCCTGGTTCATCTTATCCATCACCTCCTTCATGGCTTCCTCGGTGGCACTGTAATCCCACCTATAAGAGGCAGAACAATCCATGGTCTTTTTTTTTGGCCAGTCCTGGGACTTGAACTCAGGGCCTGGGCGCTGTCCCTGAGCTTCTTTTTGCTTAAGATCAGCGCTCTACCACTTGAGCCACGGCGCCACTTCTGGCTTTTTCTGTGTCTGTGGTACTGAGGAATTGAACCCAGGGCTCCACACATGCTAGGCAAGCACTCTAGCTCGAAGCCACCTTCTCAGCCTGAGCGATCCATTTTCACATGTGATCCCCCTCAAATAGTAACTGGCAAGTGCACACAGAGGAAATGAATCACCCAGCAAAATTCTGTATGGTCAGATTGCAATTAACTTAGCAAAAGGCCACTGCAAAATTAAACTCTTAGGGGGAAAAAAAAAAATCTTCACCGGGTACCAGTGGCTCACACCTTGTCATCCTAGCAACTCAGGGGGCTGAGATCTGAGGATCATGGTTCAAACAGAAAAGTCCAGGAGATTCTTATCTCCAAATAAGTACCACTTTCCCTAAAAATAAAATAAAAGGTGGAAGTGGAGCTGTAGCTTAAGTGCTAAGACGTGAGCACAAAAGCTCAGGGATGGCACCCGGGCCAGGGCGTGCCGGGGGTAAGGGCCACAGCCGTTCAGGCTGAAGATGCCATGCAACCACTGGACCTCGCCAGGTTAGGTCAGGTCACCGGGCAGACATTTGGTAGGTTTTCCCAGGGGAACACTGTCCCCTTGCCTCTCGTCCATCCCACAGACCCAATGAAACAAAACGACATGGAAGCCGCAGAGACCTCCCTGCACACGCAAAGTGCACGCTCCTCTCACCGTGCGTGCAGGCCGTTGTTCTCGGGCATATTCCACAGGCCCCCGGTCACGTTCACAAGGTCATTAGTGGCCCGGAGGACAGCCAGCCATTCCACGTCATACTCCAGCTGGTCAGACGCACCGGGGTCGTGTGGGATTTCTAAGACCTAGCGGAGAAAGCAGCACCATGAGGTGATAACAGATACCGTCTGCCTAGCCTAAGTATCTTAAGATAAACTAATCAGACCATAAAGGTATTTGAGCCTGGCGCCAGTGGCTCATGCCTGTAATCC